GGATTAAAACTCTTTTATTTTGTGTCATCAGTTTCTTAGTCTTCAAAGAGACATAGAAAAAAAGATGTTCAAAACATAAATGCTTAAGTCAGACTCTGTCCCCAACTTTAGCACTAATCTTTTTTTTTTTTTTTGAGACAGAGTCTCAAGCTGTTACCCTGGGTACAGTGCCATGGCTTCATAGCTCACAGCAACCTCCACCTTGGGCTCAAGTGATCCTCTTGACTTGTTTTGTTGTTGTTGTTGTTTTTTCATAGAGATGGGGTCTCGTTTTTGCTCAGGCTGATTTTGCTTGAGCTTGGTGAGCTCAAGCAATCTACCCACTTTGGCCTCCCAGAGTGCTAGCATTACAGGTGTGAGCCACCGCACATGGCCTTTTTTTTTTTTTGAGATATAGTCTTACTTGGTGTCCTCCATCATAGCACAAAGCAACCTCAAACTGTTAGGCTCAAGTGATCCCATTGCCTCAGCCTTCCCAGTAGCTAGGACTACAGGCACCCACCACAACGCCCAGCTATTTTTTTTAAAGATAGAATCTCACTCTGGCTCAGGGTAGACTTGAACTTATAAGCTCAGGCAATCTACCTGCCTCAGCCTCCCAGAGTACTAGGATTACAGGCATGAGCCACTGCACCCGGCCAGCATTAGTCTTATCACATTAAGAGGTGTATTCACAACAAACACAATGAATTACTCCTGCGGCACAGATGGAGCCTTGTAGATATGATATATAGATGCTCCATAACTTACAATGTGTTTAGGTCCCCATAAATTGAAAATATCCTATGCTGAAAATGCAGTTAATACACCTAATGTGCCAAATCATGGCTTAGCTTACCCTACCTTAAACATAGTCAGAACACTTACATAAGTTTACTGTTGGGCAAAATCATCTAAGGTAAAGCTTATTTTACAATAAAGTGTTGAGTATCTTGTGTAATTTATTGAATATTGCACTGAAAGTGAAAAACAGAATGTTGGTATAGGATCCTGAAAAACAGTTTCAAATAAATGAGTATAGCTTTTGCATCATCATAACATCAAAAGATTGTAAGCTGAATTATCCTAAGATGGGGACCTGAAGTATTCTCAAGGTACAACATGTACACCAGCCACAGCAAACTTTTAGTTTAGGAAAGCTGGTTTTTCCCACAGCCTGAGAGTGTACGTATACTCTCCCAAAGAGAACCTTTAGAAAAGGCAACTTTAAAAATTAGAACTTATTTCACAAAATTCATCACACCACAATCAAACAAAAACAGCCAATTCTTAGGGTCACCAACCTTTAAGATTATCTATACCATGCCTTTTATGTCTGTGAATAAGCAAAAGTCAATTTTAAAGGAGATAGATCCCATTTCCCATTATCTCTGGGAAGTATCCATACAACACAAGAACAGGATCTTCTGATTCAAGTAGCAGAGACAGGAAAAATAAACTATTAAAAGAAAAGGTCGGCTCGGCGCCTATAGCTCAACCGGCTAAGGCGCCAGCCACGTACACCTAAGGTGGCGGGTTGGAATCCCCAGCCCGGACCCGCCAAACAACAATGACGGCTGCAACCAAAAAATAGCCGGGCGCTGTGGCGGGTGCCTGTGGTCCCAGCTACTTGGGAGGCGGAGGCAGGAGACTCGCTTGAGCCCAGGAGTTGGAGGTTGCTGTGAGCTGTAATGCCACGGCACTCTGCCCAGGGGGGACAGCTTGAGGCTCTGTCTCAAAAAAAAAAAAAAAAAAAAGAAAAGAAAAGGTCTGGGGCAGCACCTGTGGCTCATTGACTAGCGGCCCCATATATCGAGGGTGGTGGGTTCAAACCTGACTCCAACCAAACTGCAACAAAAAAAATAGCTAGGCATTATGGCGGGCACCTGTAGTCCCAGCTATTCAGGAGGCTGAGGTGAGAGAATTGCCTGAGCCCAAGAGCTGGAGGTTGCTGTGAGCTGTGACACCATGGTACTCTACTGAGGGTGACAGACTCTGTCTCTTAATAAAAATGATAATAATAATAAAAAAGAAAAGGTCTGCGTTTTCCAACCCCCCATCACGTTACAAGTAGAGAAAAACAGAAACCCAGGGAAAGTTCCACAAAGTCCCAGTCTTGCAGATATCCTAACAGCTACTAAATGCACAGCACTGTGCTAAACACTTTACAAGTATCATCACAGTGATATCGCACAATAGCCCGGGTGAATCATAAATCAATACCTATCACACAAATGAAAGAAGTGAGGCACAGAATAGTTAAATAACTTGCCCAAGGAGGCACAGCCAACAAGTGACAGAGCTGGCACTTGTACCCACGCAGTTTGACCCTGGAACTTTTATCATACAGATCCCAAAACTTTTGAAGTGGTGTGGCTGGGATAGGAAAAAATTTTAAACATTTTAAAATAACCTAGTGGGTAAGAAGGATCCAAAAACCAAATCCCAAGATTTAAAACTACAACTGTAGGACTTGGAAGCTTAAGCCAGAATACAGAATACCCTACAACAAAGTAAAGATATCACAAAAACATTTTATTACTAGTTACTTCATGTGTCCCTTAAAGAACTAAAACACCAGTATCTGAGCCAAAAGAAGTGCTAAAAATAGGCATTTGCAGCGAACTTTGGAAAGCTTTTAGCTTGCTCATGAAGCCCTCATTTCTGTAGTCTCCCCAAAACACATGCATCACAGAACACAAAAATTCCCAAGACCACACAGCCACTCCACTGGTGTCACATTTAAATCTGTCCAAGCTGCAAATAAAACCAGGGCTGGAAAAGGGTCTCTGAGATCCACACAGGATTCTGGAAGGGCCACTACGTAACCTTACCAAGCAACCCAATCACAGAATTTGCTCAAAAAGCACTAAGCCCTAACGAGCTTAAAAAGAGAAGCTACCGGATTAATTCCGTCTGTCAAAGGCTATTCCAAAATTCCTAAACCAACTGTAGACACTCTCTTGCCTTAAGATTCCAGAAAAACAAGAACAGAGCAAATCTACCCTGCTTAGAACTTTGCTTTGGGCACTTAAAGCAAGTCGGCTTCTCCACTCAGGGGGAAAGGCAAGATGCCAGCCAAGCTGTCTTCTTCCCACGATCAATAACTCCAGTGACGCACACTATCAAGGGCCCCTGGACTTAACACAAAGTGCCAGCTCAGGCACCCAATACCACCTGATGTCATGGCTGATTTAAAACCCACAAGGCAGGTTCACTGTAAGCAAAGCAGCAGCAGCCAGGGTGAGTAGCCCCATTTAAACTTCTGAGGAGTGCTCTCTCCTGGGTATGATTATACCCTTTTGAGTTTTAAAGAGGGGGGAAGGACCAAAGAGTGGCTTAAAGATGTTTTCCCTCACTCTGTGGGTGGATAGGAGGGATGTGAAAGAAAATGGAGGTTTCAGCATTGCCCTTAGCCTGAGAGGGTTCTGAAGGGAAAGTGAGGAGGGCAAGAGAAAGAGAACCCAGTCTAAGGTACAGTTAAAATACCCCATATGGCCCCTCCTCCAAATGAAGCAACCAGAAAAGAAAGAAAAATTGCAACATGGATGTTTTCAGGATTGGCTATTCTGGACTATGGTTGACTTTACTCTCGAGTGTGAAGGCATTAAGTTCCCCCTTCAATTTTACCCATTTCCATAGTTTGGTTTAGCCTCAACCAGCGACTGCAGAAAGGGAAGAGTTTTGAAAAAGCAATTGGGGGGGGGGGGAAGCCAGAGGCCATACCACATGCCAGTTCTAATACAAACCTGCTTCAAAAGAATGGAGACCCACTGTGCAATACACAGGCAAAGATAGGAGAGGGCACGCCCCTCACCTAAACCAACGATCTACTGTTCTCAAAGGGCGGCCAGGAGCAGACTCCACATTCTGCACCTTCTTTCCCCCTACGCTGACACCGCTCTATTGGGATTCCTGCTCCCTCACCTTCACCGAAGGGGCTCGGTCAGAACTAAAAAATGGAGAAGGTAGAGGGAAACTCTGGGAGCGCCGGCCAGCGGTCACATGCCGCTCCCTGCGCGAGGAGACACCACGTTGTCCCGTCTGCGGAGGAATGCCGGAAAGAGGGGACGCGCACACGCACACCTCAGCCACGCTGCGTCGCGGACCCGCACCCGCCTTCCACCCCGCAGCGTGGCGACCCGCGCCGAACGCCAAGGCGGAACGGCCGCGAGCAGCCCGCTGGCCGCCGGCGCGGCGCATGGCGCCCAACTGTCACTCGCCCGCCCAGCCCAGCCACTCCCTCCCCCGCCGCCACACACCCCCTCGTGTAGCCGCATGCCCCTCACCCACCTCACATTTTCCGCCAACCCTCTACCTGGTTCCTCAGCCCACTAGTCGTCGGGCCCCTTCTTAAGAGAAAGGTGCCCAGGATTGTGGAGGGGAACCACCGAATTCAATGACACGTTAGGTTTCCTCTTCTCCCCGTTGTCCCCATAACTGACCCCTCAACCCTTCTCCAAATGGCGATTCTGCAACCTAACATCATCTACCCCGGAACAAAACTTGTTAACTTTTCAAACCCTGAATCCGTGCGGTCAGCATGAACTCTCCGGGCGCTGTGTTGCCCATGACATATGCTTATTAAACATTTACAACATGGGGACGCTCGCAACACTACCAAAACCAGGAGCGCAGGCGAGAGAAGAGGCTTCCTGAATAAGGTTCAAACCAGAAACCGTCTCTCCCACAAACACGCGGTGAAGGACAGAGATCCCTTTTCACCCAAACCAAAGCCCACCCTCTCCCAGCGAGGTAGGCCTGGGCCACGCCGTTGCCCACTAACCGCTGAGGCCCAGGCAGTGGCTGTGGCCTCCCAGAGGCCGGGCCCCGATATATGCAGGTTCTCGAGCGCGTGGGGGGGTAGGGTACGACAACTCGAATTAACCAAGAGGCAGTAACAAAAATTCCCAAGTCACCACGACCAGCAGCGGACCCCAGGGGCCCTGGAGGCCAATGGGGGATGGGACTCCCAAGGCCCCGGAAGAGGCTCCCGAACCCAGAAGAACAAGGAGACCTACCTGGAGGGGACTGTCCGTTCACGGTGGTCAGGACCGGCGGCAGCGCGTTCTTAGTCCACGGGTTCACCTTGGGCGGGGGGGCTTCCACGAAGTCTCGGCGGCCGGCGCCCGCGGATCCTCCGCCGGCTCCCGGCTCGCCGCCGCCGCCCTCCTCCCCGTCACTGACCGCCAGGCCCTCGGCACCCGGTAGCTGCGGCAGCCGGGGGCTCTCGCGCTCCTGTTGCCCGGTGCCCTCCTTGTGTGGCTTGGCGCAGGGCGGCCGGGGTCTCCGGACGCCACCGTCCGGCTCCCCCCCGCCGACGTCGTTCGCCCCGGGCTCGCCCTTGGCCTCGGGAGCTGGCGGCGGCTTTTTCCTCACCAGTCCACCATGCTCTTCGGCCTGCAAGAGCGGGGCGCCCCCCGGCAGCAGCGGCTCCACCTGAGTGGCCATCTGCGCGCCGGCCCTCCCCCCCCGGAGAAGCCGGGCGCGCCCTAGGCTGCCTCCCCCGCCTCGAACTTGGCTCACAGAGCGCCCGCGACGCCTTCCTCCAGGGCGCTGGGCCCCAGTCCCAGAGAAGGATCGGGGTTCACGCTAGGCGCGGCCCCCCTCCGGTCGGATGCAGCCGCCGTAGATCCGAGGCCCG